TGAGAAAACTCATGTCTCAACCGTGAGAGCCAAACATAGCCATCCAATTTCACCAAGTACCATATACTGATATGTACATAAATAACCAAATTGCACCTCACAAGCGCACATAAGCTCATGTTTTCCACACAGAACATGTTCTATAGTCCAATGTTCTCATGGCATGCTCAACAATACGATGACAATAATTAAAGCAAGATATAATCGAAACAAATCCCATGAGTCTCATATTAAAATTTTATCCATAACAAATGTATTAGGTAACCTAATATCATATATCCAAAATACCACAATGTATCATGTCATCCACAAGTCCCACAACAAGTATATCATGTATACTATTACGGTTAACTCACAAAATCCATTAAACACCTTATCTAATATTTATAATTGAAACCATACATCTATGATTAAATCAATATATCCATAAACATCCTAGGCATGGAAATCAATAACTTCCTAGAAGTATCAATATAATGCATTATAACTCCATATAAGTAATTCTAAATATACACACATACATATATACATATATAACCCCAAACTAACTCACAAAACGCAAAGAAGGCATAGTCTTACGTACACAACACATCCCTACCTCATTGAGATGAAAATCTTAAAACCTCCAAAACGGAAAGTACTCCAAACGAGCTTCCCCTCCGAAGGTGTGACCAGGAAGGTGAGGAGAACGACAAAGCCTCCTACGACCGCCTCCGAATCCAACCCCGAACTCGGCCCCCAAAACCCAAAATACTCAGAATCGAAAACAAAACCAAGGGTTTTGCTCCCCTTGGTATCCCCGTCATTATACCCTTCTACGGAGACTCACAAATCACGACGGAAATGGAGCAAATCGGCCTTTTAGCTTAAGAGCACAAAAGAAATAAAAAATAAATAAATAAATAATAATAAAAAAGAAGAAAGTAAAAGAAAAAGGGAAAGGGGGGATCCGGCTGCCTCCAGCCATTTCCTCTCTCTCTCCTAACATATATTTATATATGTTAAATGACAAAATCCCCAAAATATCTCCCGTAGGTCCCACAAGTCCAAAATTGTAAAAGAACCTAAAAAATAGAAAAAATCAGGAAAATAATGACGCGAATGGCCCAAAATAAAACATGATGACCAAAGCATTCCAAATTAAATATGTAGGTCTAATATATCTCAAAAAAAATAAATGCAAAGTGTTGGAAAAAATTCCTGAACACTTGCAGCTCCACTTTACCCGAGACCCGAAAATGACGAAAAAAGAAAATAGAAAAAAATGAAAAAGGGACAAGTCCTTACATCCCCAGTGTAAAGTATTTATGTGATCTAACATGAGTAGATTCGTTGCCCAGTGTTCAATGTTTAGGATGGTTGCATATAATGCCCAACGATTTATTACATGTATAGGAGTTGATTTCCCATGTAGTATTAAGGACACTTAACCAGCTCGTGTGAGTTCTAAGTGGTCACAGTCTATTCCGGTTGAGATTTCCTACACATGGTAATCATTTATTAGTGTGTATATGTATGTATGACTACGTAGTTGTTGAGATAGTTTAGATTAAAGATGGATTGCTTATTGGTTCTCTAATTGGGTCGTATTAGAGAGGACTTGCTCGTGGGTTTAACCCCCCTTTGTTGATATTTTTCAGGTCCTCGTCAGTTCCAGCCTTAGAGTTGAGTTTGTAACTGATTAGAGATAGTCTTCATCGTTTTTCTAGATATTTCAATGTAGGACATTCATCTATTACTTTATTCATTAGCTTTAGAGATTTATTTATTCGGTTATTAGGATTTGTTAGGGGTTCTTGTGATACCCCCTAATTTCACAACACGATTTGATCAAATCTGCGCACAAAATTAAGGAATATCAAAACAATTAAAGTATTTAAACAAGCACAGATTACAAAATGAAAATAAAAAGAATAAATAACTCGCAGAAGGAAAATCTATTAAATAATAAATCCATTAATAATTCTCTAAGGGTTACAGCTCAGGAATCCCGTAACTCAAGAACCCCTTAACTAAAATCCAATATTCAGAAATTCATTAATACACACTGAAATAATAATATCCTACATTGAAATAAAATAGAAAGAATGGATAAGTCCTCCAGCTGCGGATCCTCAACCTTGAGACTTGGAACTTCTAATAACCTAAAATAAATAAATCACAAGTTAAACCATACGAGCAAGCTCTCTATACCAGGCCTCTGAAAACCAATAAACAAATCATCTCTCACAAAAACCAATCCTATTAAAGTTTTTATCTTTAATAAACAATGATACATATATATAAATAATTATATATAATACACTAATCACATCCATTAATAGGTTCATTAAATTTAAAACCATTAAATAATGATTAAATTAATAATCATTCCTACACCAATTCACAATTTCCTTTAAAGAGAAATTCCTTTAACCTTAATTCAATCCTAAACAATTATTAAACCATTTAAATAATAAAATATAATTAAAGGAATAATATATTTAATCCAATCCCTAATAATAATTGTAATTATTTAAATCACATATCCAATAAATAACAATACTACTTAAAAGCAAACAAGATGAATAGATAAAAGACAATTAATTTAACACTTAATTAAAAAAAATAATTATTTAAAAAATAAAATAAAATCATTAATCCCAATTAAATCAAACAAATCATTTTAAAATAAAATTAAATTAATTAATCCCAATTAATAAATCCTTTAAAATATCGAGATATTACATTCTTCCCCCCTTAACAAAAGGAATTTCGTCCTCGTAATTCACGAATCTATGAAATGAAAACTTTGATTATTTAATTTCAAATTTTATTGTTCCCTTTATCCGTGTAGAAATTAACCCATCCACACATACTCATAATTAGCAAGCATATCTCATAATTTATTAAGAATATACTAAGCTAGTCTATACTCGTTGCATTTCTTTGCAACTTAATCTCACCAATTTACATGCATTGGGAATTATCCCCATTACTGTATTTTCTTACAGCAAAACAAATAAAAACTCCTTTACACACATGACTTGAAACATATAACATCGCTAACAATAGGCTATTGCAGTTCTGAAATATAAAAACCCATGTTCCGAAATTAGGGAGTATCACAGTTCTTGATTTATAAATTCCCGAGTTGTATTCATTTGGAGAATTATTATTCTTATGGATTTTAATTGGAGGTTTATTAGTGGATGGTTTATTATTAATATTACTATTTATCATTTAGAATTCTTTTCAACTTATTTATTTATTATTTATCCTCTTATATTCCGTACTTGTTTATTATTTAATTATTTTAATACTCCTCGATTTTTAGGTGTAGACCTAATCAACTCACGCTTAAAAATTAGGGAGTATAACATATTGGGTTAATATTCGCATTAGAAGAGATTAAGGTTTGGACTGGGTCAAAGTCAAAAGATTGGGCTTGAGTGAGGGAAATGTTTGAAAGTGATACAGGTTCAAGTTATTGGAGTAGGTTCACAAGAGGAGTTGGGAATGGGTAGAGTGTGGGTTAAAAGGTGTACTTTTTTTTTTTTAAAGACTATTTAAGAGTTTGCTTGAAGGTGAATTAGCTCGCATCTCTGGTTCAAAAGGGAAAGAGGATGATTAAGCAGTGGGGGAGATCTCCGATGAGGTACAATGTCTCTAAGTATGGCCTAGATGTCCACATGTTCACATGAGTATCAAAAAGAGGGGAGGCGTTCATAGCCAAACAAAACCCAGATGGTATCACCACATAAACTTCAACCAGAGACCTCGACGCAGAGGAGATGAGACATCAATATCGACCTTGAGTCGAAGATATTTGCCGCCGTAAATTCCTTTGTCGCTGATTTCAATTCAGGATAGTTTAGAGAAGGTTTTACCAATTCTTTCCCCAATTTCAAGGCAGAATCAATTCTTTCCCCAATTTCAAGGCGAATGTTGTTCAGACGAACCCCAAAAATGAGGAAAAGAAAAGGCATAATCAATTGGGTTGAGAGTAGGTTTCTGATAAGGAGTCTTCAGCCAGGAAGTTTGGCCGTCACACAAAGCTGTAAATCATGATAAACTCCACTATCTTGGATAAGGATAAGAATGCGTTCTCCCTTCCGTGTTGGAAAAATATGAGGAATACTACTCCTCCTTCAATACAACTTGACACCCCTATAAAGAGGGTTTTTGGGTTAACATAAAAGCTACAACACAAATCCCTAAGAGAGCTTTAAACTTTCTTTCCACCCTCCTAATCTAACACTGACTTGATCGTCAGAGGCTCTTAGGCCGGTACCACTCCAGTACTCGATCATCTTTCTCTTCCTTTTTCAGGTACGACGTCACTTCGGGTCACCGCGGAATCCCGCATCATCAGTTGGCGCTGTCTATGGGAACGATATTAGTTTCCTAGAATAACAATGATGTTGCGATCCGGAGTCCATCTTGGAGAAGGAAGTCAGCACCCCTAGCGTCTTGATGGAGGAAGCCACCAAAACCAATCACGTGATGATAACAGCCACCATCAACCTGATGGCAGAAATCAATCACATGGTGATGATCATGATGGTGATGGTCAATTACACCATCACCACAACTAACCTCGCCTCGGGGATGACCAGCCTCGCCTAAAGGGAGTACATTCCAAGCACGTATCCCATTATGAGAGCGTGTCAAGGCATGCTCCGGAAGATGGGGAGCGTGTTGCAGCATTGGAACAGCATGTTCAGAAACTTAGTCAAGGTATGAACAAACTGGTCCAGTAAAATGCAGCAATCATGCGCCACTTAGCTATCCCTGTAGCACCCGTCATGGAAGGTGACGACGATGATGACAGAGTTAGGCATAACCATACGGGAGGTAGACAAAGAAACTGTCGTGCTTCCATGGCTCATTCTCCACGATAGAATATTTCCGGTGCAGAGACACCTTGTCGCCAAAAAAATGTCTCCGATGTTGGAGAACGCACCGAAGTTACCCATGTTGATCAACAAATCCACGATCTCAAATTGCAAGTATAAGGGATGGCCCAAGCCTTGAAAGGGAAAGGTCCTGCCACAGTTGATGACCTTGTACAAAAGACAAATGTACCTTTCAATCCTCGGGTGATGGCTCTGCCATTGCCAACGAAGTTCAAGATGCCCCATCTTGAGAGTTTCGACAGAACCCGGGACCCACTCGATCACCTGGAAACTTTCAAGTCACTAATGAACTTACAAGTGGTCCCAGATAAGATCATGTGCAGGGCATTCCCTACCACCCTCAAAGGGTCAGCCCGTGTCTGGTTTAATAAATTGAAGCCGGGATCTATTAGCAATTTTGAAGAGCTCAGTAAACAGTTCATAGGGCATTTCATTGCAGGAAGACGACACCGAAAGCCAGCCACCTATTTGCTCAATGTTAAGCAAGACAACGGGGAGGCGTTATGTGATTATATAGGCCAATTTAATATAGAGATGTTGCAAGTCGATGAGGTGGATGACAAGGTTGCTCTTACAGCCTTCATGGGAGGACTACAATCCTCCAAATTCCTTTTCTCTTTATCCAAGGACCCACCAAACACTATGGCAAAATTATTGATTGAGGCCCAGAAACATATGAATGCTAAAGATGCTATGAATTCCAGGAAGGGCAAAGGAGACGACGACAAAAAAGGAGATAAGAAGAGGTCAGCCCCTATCTTGAAAGACGAAAGAGACTCCAAGTTTAGGAAGTTTAATAGGTCCCCGAGAGTCCCTAGAGGGCGAGATAACTACACCAACTTCACTCCCTTGAATGCTCCTATTAGTCAAATCCTGATGCAACTCCAAGACGACCACACCTTGAAGTGGCCCCCTAAGTTGAAGTCAGATCCGACAAGAAGGTCTAAAGACAAGTATTGCCGGTTCCACAGAGACCATGGGCATAATACCGATGATTGCTTCGACTTGAAAAGCCAGATTGAGAGTCTAATTCATCGGGGCAAGTTACACAGGTATGCAGCAGATCGTGAGAAGGGAACGGGTCAACCTATTCGCAAGAATAGGGAGAACAACCCTCCTGGGCACTAATTAGGTGAAATAAGGGTGATCTCCGGTGGACTAGCGGGTGGGGGAAAGTCGAGCTCGACACGAAAGGCCTATGTCAGGAGAGCCCGGAGCTCCATAGGAGTCAACAAGGTTGGGATATCCAAACCCCAAACGAAGTTCCCGAGACGGGAAAGTGAGGTCATCACTTTTTCGGAGGAAGATGCCAAAGGAATTTAACAGCCACATGACGATCCATTAGTGGTGACAGTAGTCATGGCCAACTACATAATCCATTGAGTACTAATCGACAATAGTAGTTCAGCTAACTTGTTACTCATTGATGCTTTCGACAAAATGTGTATTGGCAGGGGAAGGTTAAGGCCAACAAAATCCCCCCTCGTTCGTTTTTTCGGAGAAAAAAACTTTCCCCTGGGAATGGTTACACTTCCATGACAGCAGGGACGGGACCAAAACAAGTATCTGTAATGGTGGATTTTCTAGTGGTGGACTATCCGTCTACTTATAATATAATATTAAGGAGGACGGCTCTAAATACTATGAGAGCCGTCACTTCCACATACCATTTATTGATGTATTTTTCTACAGAGCAGGGCATTAGTGAATTAAAAGGTGACCAAATAACAGCGAGGGAATGCTACGCAGCCGCGTTGAAAACAAAACAGTTGAGTGAAGCATTAGCCATTGAGACACCAGAAAGGTTAATGGAGAAGGAGCCCACTCAAAGGGCAGAACCAATAGAAGACCTTGTGGAGATAGATTTAGATGAAGAAGGAGCCAGGAAAAAGGTGAGTATAGGGTCATTACTTGACCCACTCATCTGGGATCCACTCGTCCAACTTCTCAGAAACAATAAAGATGTGTTTGCATGGACACATGACGACTTGCCTGGCATTGACCCCTCTATTATGCAGCATCGGTTTAATGAGGACCCATCCTTCAAACCAATCAGACAGAAAAGGCGAGTGTTTGCCCCAGAGAGGAACCGCGCTATATCACAGGAGGTCGAGAAGCTCTTTAAGGCCGACTTTATCCGAGAGGTACAATACCCCCACTGGCTATCAAACGTAGTCCTGATCAAGAAGGCAAATGGCAAATGGAGGCTTTGTGTGGATTTCACAGATCTAAATAAAGCCTGCCTAAAGGATAGTTTTCCTTTACCAAGTATCGACATGTTGGTTGAAGGGACAGTAGGACATGAGTTATTGAGTTTCATGGATGCTTACTCTGGATACAATCAGATCCCCATGTATGCTCCTGACAGTGAAAAAACTTCTTTTATCACTGATAAAGGTCTTTATTGCAACAAGGTAATGCCGTTTGGGTTGAAGAATGCAAGTGCAACCTATCAAAGGCTAGGTAACACAATATTCAAGCAACAGATAAGCAGAAACATGGAAGTTTATGTGGATGACATGTTGGTAAAGAGCCTCAAGGCTAAGGACCATTTAGTTGATTTACAAGAATCTTTTGATGTGCTTAGGGCATATAAGATACGGTTGAATCCAAGTAAATGTGCCTTTGGGGTATCCTCGGGAAAGTTTCTGGGGTATATGGTAAGTCAACGAGGAATCGAAGCAAAACCTGAGAAGATTCAAGTAATACTAGATATGAGATCACCTAAATCAACCAAAGAAGTCCAGAGGCTGGCAGGAAATGTGGCAAAATTGAACAGGTTAATCTCCCGAGCTATGGACAAGTGGCTTCCTTTCTTTAGGATACTAAAGAAAGCTTTCGAGTGGACCCCGACATGCGAGCAGGCATTCATTGGGCTAAAAAACTATCTTAGTTCACCACCATTGTTGTCCCGAGCAATTCCTGGAGAAGAATTGTACCTTTACCTAGCAGTTTCCCCTGTGGCGGTAAGCTCAGCTTTGGTTAGGGAAGAAAGCAGTATACAAAAGCCAGTGTATTATACTAGCTGAGTACTTCGGGGAGCGGAAGAAAGGTACCTGGCAATAGAAAAACTAGCATTTACGCTGGTTGTGGCAGCAAGGAAACTCAGACAATACTTCCAGGCATATACCATGATAGTGGTGACAGACCAACCACTGAGGCAGGTCCTTTACAAGCCAGAGACATCGGGACGCCTTACGAAGTGGTCAGTAGAACTAGGTGAGTTTGACATCAGGTACAGGTCAAGGGTAACAAGAAAAGGTCAGGCACTTGCTGATTTTGTGGCAAAGCTTTCTTTCCCTCAAAAAGAAGATGAGGTCATAACCTCTTAAATGAATCCTGAGAATCAGACCCAATTAGGCGATACTTGGTCACTTTATATGGACGAGTCATCAACCGCCCGAGCCTGTGGGGTAGGATTAGTGATTATATCACCAGAAGGAGAGAATCTGAAGTATGCACTTTGATTTGGATTCAAGGCTACCAATAATGAAGCAAAGTATGAAGCTTTGATAGCAGGATTGAAGCTGGCAAAAGCTCTCAGAGTGCAACACTTGAAGGTGTTTACTGATTCTCAATTAGTTACAGGGCAAGTTCGTGAATAGTACGAAGCCAAAGATGACAAAATTAAATTGTATCTTCAGAAGGTAAGAGGCCTAGTTGGTTACTTCAAGAAGTTCATGATCCAGCAAATACCCAGAATAGAGAACGAGAATGTAAATGCATTAGCCTGACTAGCAACTGCAGTTGAGCTTGAAAATAATAAGGCTATACCACTTGAGTACTTGAAAGAGCCTAGTATATTTGAAGAATGCAAGGAAATAAACCAGTTAGAACCAGGGTTAGAGTGGGCAAACTCAATAATAAAATACATCATGGATGGGGAACTACCACAGGACCCTGTGGAAGCTTGGAAGGTCAAGATCCGAGCACCCAGGTTTACGTTCGTGAATGGAGTTCTCTACAAAAGAGGTTTTTCTTTGCCTTTTCTACGTTGTGTGTCAACTAAAGAAGCTCGTTATATCATGAAGGAGATATACGAAGGAGTATGTGGAAACCATGCAGGGGGTAGATCCTTGGCCAGCAAGGCAATTCGCCAGGGCTATTATTGGCCTACCATGTAGGGGGATGCATTAGAATATGTGCGAAAGTGTGATAAATGTCAATGATTTGCCAATGTTCCTAGGCAACCCCCAGAGCAGCTAGTACCGATGTCCAGCCCATGGCCTTCCGCCCAATGGGGAATGGACTTGATTGGCCCCTTAGCCACAGGAAAAGGGCAAACCAAGCATGCTGTCGTAGCAATCAACTCTTTTACCAAATGGGTGGAAGCCCAATCACTGGCCACAATCACAACAAACAATGTCAAGGATTTCACGTGGAAATCAATATTATGCAGGTTCGGTGTACCCCATGTTATTGTTTCAGACAACGGAAAGCAATTTGATAGCGCTGTTTTCAAGGATTTATGTTCTCAACTAGGAATAAGAAATCATTATTCTTCTCCGGCCATCCGCAGGGTAACGGGCAGGCCGAAGTAGCCAATAGGATAATACTCAGCTTAATCAAAAAGCGACTGGAAAAGGCAAAGGGGTTATGGCCAGAGGAGCTTCCCAACGTGTTGTGGGCTTATAGAACCACCTCAAAAACCCCAACAGGAGAAACTCCTTTTCTCCTAGCTTTCGGAAGTGAAGCTGTAATTCCAGTAGAAACTGGTCTACCAAGTTTCAGAACCACCAACTACGACCCCCTCCAGAATGAAGAAAAGATGTTAGTCAACTTAGATCTAGTTGAAGAAAGAAGAGAGCAAGCCCAAGTTAGGGTTGTGGCATACCAGCAAACAATATCCCGATATTATAATTCTCGGGTGAAAGAAAGGAGGTTTGAGCCCGGGGATCTTGTTTTACGCAGGGTCACCCAAGCCACCAAGGAACCGAATGAGGGTAAGCTTGCTACCAACTGGGAAGGCCCTTATAGGGTTGTTCAAACAAAGAGACGAGGCACCTACTAGCTAAAAACACTAGGGGGGAAGCAACTTGGCCATCCTTGGAATGCTGAGCACCTCAGAAAGTACTATCAGTAGAATTAGACATTAGTACGTGCCCTTAGTTTCTTATTGCCTAGTGTTACTTCTAGTTAGTGCCACTTTTAGTTTCGTTTTAGTATCGTGTCGTTTAGATTATGTCTATTTGTTACCATAAGTAAATCTTCGATTCAACTCTCAATATAATCCATTCTATCACATTAATTATGCAATTTTGTGTTTTCATCTATCCTATCGATATAAAGTTGCCTCTGTATTATAAGGGACTAACATTAATGTGCCCCGTATTATAAGGGTCTGGGCTAAATGAATCCCGTAATTATTGTCCCCGTACTATAAGGGACTCACATTAAATGCCCCGTATTATAAGGGCTCGGGTTGAATGAATCCCGTGATTAATTTCCCCGTATTATAAGGGATCGTCACAAAAAGAACAAAGTGTTCTGCACTGCACTTTAGGACTCTGGCTGAATGAATCCCATAGCCCTTATCCCTGTACTATAAGGGTGATACTCAAATAAGCTACATTAAAAGGGTTAATAAGAGGAGGCAAGCTATAGAGTTCAAAAAAGAACAAATAAATGGCAGCGCCCAACCCAAATCGGCGAAACTACATAGTCGTATTCAGAACAATAATAAACATTTTTCTTAAAGAAATGCAATAAAGACAATTACACATTCAAGACGTAAAATGCCCACTACTGTGGGCCTCCAAGGCTGGATTCTGCTGATCTCATTCTTAATGACTTGGTCCTCCTTCTTTTGATCCTCCCTGACACGGTCCACTCTGAAGACAACTGCTTGGACTCTGGTCTCCAGAAACAAATAGCTGAAAATGCTAAAAATCCAGGTCTTCATAGGTGATCATAGCTTGTTGTCTAAACTCCTCAAAACCATCAAAAAAATAATTTTTGTTGACCCGATCAAATTCGGCTGAGGCTTTGTATTCCTCCACAGCAGAAGATTTTTTAAGAACTAGCCTAGCTTGGAAATGTAATGACCCGGTCATTTTCCCCCCTTTCCTTTTTCAGTGATTTTCTTTTTTTGTCTTTTCCCTATTTCATTTTTTTTCCGTTTATCATTT